ACCTAGAATTATTTTTCCTTCTTGATTTTATTAATTTATTCTTTTGATGTAACCTTGATTTTTATTGTATGGATATTTTTTTTCTGATTAGTTTATCAAGTAATGTTGGCTTCTATTTTTTATTTCCAGGACATCATTTTATTTAACATCTGTAAGAAAAATGTCATCGTTATGGAAAAGCCCAAATGAAATCCATCGCTATCAGTGGAAAAAAAATTTTAGAATCAACAACACAAGGTGCCACTTCCCTCGTCCTTCAGAAAATACGAGAATAAAGAAGCACGGTTGGGATCTCAGAATGTCAACAGTAGGAGGCAGAAAGGTTATCATGAATAGAATATTGAAAGGAAGAGATGTTTTATCTCATTAGTTTCTTAAGTTTTATTTAGACATTTTCAGTTTGTTTTTTTTTCTTTGGTTTTTTTTTTGTTGAGTGATTAGTAAATTAAAATTAATTTTATTTGAGTTTTTGTTAATTTTTCTTGAAAATAATGTATGTATTGTACAAACATGTAACAATAAATTAAACATTTTTTACTATTTAGATTTATTCACTCCTTTTTATTTTGGTCTTCCAAGGAATGGTGCTGGTGCCCTTTAACTTTGAGGCCCAGATTAAAGTTCGATTTTCTGTTTGGATGCTTTTGACTGTAATTAAAAGTCCAAAGCACAAATTTTGGTAAAATTTTAATTACTTATGTATTGTAAACATAACTTTCCCGTCGGAACTCGTTAATAAAATATATTTACTTGATGTGCTCTTATTGAATATCAGTGCTTATTTTTTTAATTGCTTCAAAATAAAAATCTCTGAAAATTAATAATGCAAAGTACATCTCACTTCTTCTGGGTTATTAAATTTTTATTTTATGAGTTCAAAAGAAATCCGTATTCAATTAAACCATATAATGCATGTTAACGCCACAGCGTTAATTCAATTTATTTTACACTTAACTAGTTTGATAAATTGTTGATTTGTTTTATTTTAGCAAAGTGAAATCAATTAATAATATGTATATTTATTTATAAGATATGTGTATATTAAGTATTATAGGCCCATAGCTTATATTGTTTATATTAAATAAATCAATAGTTTATACTTGGACTACTTTGTTATGGATTGTAGTAGCATTAGCTATAAACAAGGTTCAAGTCATAAGGCGGTAGAATTGACAATAGACAGTCTAACTCCGTCCGTCACTGAGCTGAATACTGCCAGCTTCAACACTGCCCACTGCAGTTCTACTGTGAAGAGACGTACTTCTCTTGTCTTCCTTGCCGCTGCCCATTTGCAGTTCGTTTTGAGCACGCTCATTGAAGAGTTACAATTGGTTTCTGCATAGAGACAGAGGCTTACGAACGCCCTGCTTCGTCCACGTAACGTTGTACAATCTAATTATTTGTTATATATATATATATATATATATATATATATATATATAAATTTCATATTGGGACTCTAGAGAAGTTGTTTTTTTTTTATTGTAATTTGGGCCATAGAAATAGTTTTTTTCTTTTATGATCAAGCATGAAAATATTTCATTAATATTGTCACAACTTTTTGTTCAGCTGGTCTTTATTTTATGCTAGAAGTTTGTTATTTTTTTTTTACCTATCTAAAAAGTGTAAAATTGATTCATTTTGTTTTTATGTTTTCAATATTAGATTTCATAAATGTTCCAAAATAAATGTTTGAAGATACAGTCCACTTTCATTCTTTTTTTTTCTTTTATTAAATCACTATTAAATAGTTAGGCTTCATTCGAAGTTTGTCATAAACTAAGAGGGAGCTAACAATGCAGTAAGTAGTCTTTCAATAAATATATATTTTTACTTCTCTATCTCTAATAGAAAAAGAAAGTATTTTGTACAATAAATTTCAATTGTGCATTTTTTTTTTTTTACATGTTTGTACACCTCTCCCCTTCCTCCCCCCCTCCCAAAAAAAACAGAAAAAGGAAAAAATTGACATGGCTCAAAAATATACATTTTATGGATAAGTATGGATATGGTCATTTGAAAAGTAATGAAAAAAAAATTGAAATCAAACCAAGATTACTGAGCATTTAAATTTGGAACCCATGTTTTTAAAATTATCCGATAAGTATTCTGTGCAAGTATGCTAAGTATGCAAACCCATTCTCTTTTATTTAATTTCTGTTATTTACAACTTTAATGCAAGATGCGATTTTGAAAAATATAATTTTCTGCAAAGAAAATTACAAACACAATTACTGACCATAGACAAACTTAACATTATTTAAAACGTTTCCGTCTTAGAAACACAGGTTCTTGTGATTGTGACGGACAAACATTCCAACACACTCTAATCAACTGCTACGGACATGATCATAACAGATCACAATGAAGACAATCTTGATGCTGGGAGACACTTGGCCACCAACATTCTCTTTTAAAAATATAAGGATTCGCTCCAAATCAACAAAGCAATAAACTTACTGCAGCAAATTGCTGAAAAAAATAAAAATAAAATTGGTAACTAAAATAGAACTATCAGAAGAAATAGTAAAAATCAGTACGAGAATGAAAAACAAACTTCAATTTTTTTTTTTTTTTTTTTTGGGATGGTTTAGTTTTTCCTGTCTTAATTTATCTTCTCTTGGTTATTTTTAATTTGCCTGAATAGTGGGCAAAAGTGCATATGGATTTAATGGATATAAGGTCAAAAGGCAGATGGATAGAGCGAATCAACAAAGATGCAATAGAGCTGGATTCATATAACTGGAAAGAAATAACCCAAGATAGGCAAAAATGGAGCCCTAGATGGCTTGTTAAGGCATTCAAAGATCTCTAAAGTCTGTAATACCAACAGAAAAAAAATAAAATTGAACTATCTATATAATTAATTCTTCCTCCTTTTTTTATGTTTAATAAATATTTTTTCCCATTGTATTTCACTCTCTCTCTTCTTTTTTCATCTTTTCTTTTGTCCTTTTTCAGTTATTTTTTTGTTAATAATATTATGAGTAATATGTCAAATGAAATGGAACTTGTAAAAAATTAGAAATACACGTTCCTCTGATAGGATTACTATGGAAGAGGAAAAAATAAAATAATAAAGTAAAATCTTATCCAGATCAATATTGACGAAGATACAGCAAATAATTTTTGTATTACATTTTGTAGTAGAAAGTGGTAAGGAAAGTCATGTATATGTCCACAGCGTAAGTTGTTTAAAGGCGTAAAACCCCTGGGTCATCATCTCCTACTAGTTATTTTTTATTTCTCTACTCTATCTCATGAATATTCTTTATTTCTAGTTTAAGTTGGTTGGGGAGTGTGGGCAGTTGATAATTTTATTTTATAGTAGTATTTTGTTGCATTTGCTAACTTTTTAGGTCTTCATCAGAACATTTCATCTAGAACTGCAGGAATAAGTTAGGAGACTCAAGTGCTACCTGAAATGCCATTGACGAAGCCTTACAACTTGGATCAAAATTTCGGCAAATGGAATAAAATACTACTATAAAATATAGTATATCTACTGACCAACTTCTTCTTAAATTAGAATTACGATCAATTGTCTTCATACCATACCATATTTCTAAATGTTTTTTTTTTTTATAACTATTTGCCTTGACACTTGATATAATTCGCAATCACAATTTCATGAAATGGCTTAGTGGTGTAGTAAGTATGGCTTACTAAGTAGGAAGTAGTTAGGAGGAGGGACCATTCTAATATGAAAGAATAATAATAAATAATATACATTCATTCTTTAGCAAATTAGTTATTCCTGAATAAAAAAAAATTATCCGTTTACCTCTTAAGTTGTATTAACTTGTTATTTTATATTAAATAAGAAATATTTTTATAAATTGATGAATGGCATATCAAACAGTAAAACTATAATAGCTTTTCATAAGTTTAACATACACAGCAGATAGACGAAAATTACTCTACTAATTTAAAACAACATAATTTTAAACTGTTTTGTCCTCATCTTGGTCATAAATATAATTAATTCACGGGTGATAAATATTCAGGATGCAGTTATTATAAAGTTTTTATTATTGCCAACGTTTCAACCCAAACATGTGGGTCATCATCAGGGCGTGTTTCGAGCACTGAAGGTATTCAAGTAATCGACTTAAACATCGGCACTAACAAAACCTTTACAATGACTGCATCCTGAATATTTATCATGAAGACTTGGATACTTGATATAAGATCGAAGGATGTCATATAAAAGGCGAGATGAATGAATATGTATGTATAGCATAGCTTCTCTATAACAGATAAATTTGTAATTATCATAAATTTTTCTGTGATTTTCTGTTAAAAAAAAAATCTAAATGAGATTGGGAAGTATGCTGTGCATTAAGCAATCATATATTGTAGCTTTTAAATAAAATATTTCCTTTTAAATTTAATTTAAATTATCTTTTCTGAGAATACAACTTGGTAGTGGGTATTATAGTTTTAATCTTTCGTACTTATTTCTCCAACAGAATTGATTAGCAATATAGCAACTCAACTCCGTCTAATTGTAAAAAAAAAAAATATATCACATTTTAAACAAAAAAAAAAAAGTTTTATAGAACTGATTGGCAATGTTAACTCTTGTCTATTTTATTTTAAAAAATGTGTCATCAACATGAGTGCATGAGAAAAAATTAGTTTCCACTAAATATCCACCTGATACTAAATTAGAAAAACACAAGCTATGTGAAAATTCAAATAAAAAAGAAATTCCTAAAACATCCAGTCTTTCCATAGAAATATCAAATAAAATAACAATATCTGTCCTGATTTTACTGATCAAAGAAAATACTTTGGAGGTCTCACAGAATTTGTGTCTAAATGCTTTCAAGGCATCAACTAGATAGCTTCATACATTTTAAAATATGTCACAATATTTCTTAAAACAAAACATTTGCAGAGGATGTGTCTCATTAACATAATATCTGCTCCACTGCTTCAAAAAAAATTACTGAAGAGATCATTTTTCAAGTCATATATTGTGCAAATAAAGAACAAACATTTTAATGTCAGTTCGCAAACTATACTGGATTTAAAAATGTTTAATTTTAATACCAAATCTCTCTTCTACCATTACTCATTTGTGTACATATAAAAAATATTAACATGATTCATGAAATACCATTTTAATTCGCTGATTTTTATTTACTTATATTATTCCTTCATTTTATCGTCATTGAATTTGATTTCATTGAGTTTCTGCTAAAGAAGACTTCTTTTACTATACTGAGAATCCCAGATCCAAAATAATCTCAGATTTTGGCACTCCAGCAAACATGGTTATTTACTTTTCATAATAAAGTTTAAAATATGAAGATTTAGGGGTCAAAAAACTATTAATGATTTAATATTTAAAGGAAGGAGATGGTCTAAATAGTTTTGCCACTATTTAGCCTATTTATGACCGCCACTGCGGACCATCTCCTTCCTTTATAATGCAACGGTCAACTATTAAATATTCGATTTAATTATTAATTTGAAAACTGAATTTAAAAAAAAAAAAAAAAGCACTAAGTTTTTGTATATATTTGTCAAAAAATAGTAATAAACAGATTTTTAAAACTTGCTTTGCAGTATTTATTAACGTGTAATTGTTTTGTTTCTTTTTCTTTTCACTACATAACCAACATTTGGCACTCACTTAAACATAAAACGAAATTTCATTTTATTTCCTTATTATGTTATCACTTAACTTACATATAAATTTAATTGCGGAAAGTGTTATCTCACAAACATGATACACTACATAAAATATACAATAGTTTCCAAAGGTAACAAGAAAATATAATCATCAGGACATAATAAGATATTAATTAAGAAATAAATAAATAAAAAAATAAATAAAAGAAAAACAAAACAAGGTTTGCATTAAGTAAATGGTTAAATCTGTACACTGCTTGTATCGTTTATGATCCAACTTTATTTTCGATTCCTTTTTCTATATAATTATACTTTTTATCTTCTGATGATAGATAGGAACCTATACTAATATTTAGGGCGATAATATTTATATATATATTACATTTTATACAAATAAAAAATAAAATATATCTGTTTCTTGGCATTTTCCTGAAATATATACACTGTGCTTGAACAATTAATTTTACGTGTTCTAACAAAGATTGAGCTTCAATAACTTGTATATATACATCAATATTATTGGAATCGTGATTAAATTAATAAAAATAAGTATTTATGGAAACAAAATAATTTACATAAACTAAATGTACAACCTTTAAAAACAACACATAACAGGAAAGAAAAATTAAATCTTAACAAGTACTTCATCGAAAATAAACAAAACAATTACAATTGAACAAAGGAATATGTTATCGAAAAATGAGGAGTGTTAATGCAATTCCTCAATGACAATTTTTTTTTGTATTTTATTATTTTTTTTTCTAAATGCCTACAAAATAACAATGAATAAACATTTTTTTTAAATATAATATATAAATACAGGTATATGATTTGGTTACAAGTTTTTAATTTTTTTGCTAGAGTATTATTAAAATTGGTACTTAATAGGCCTAACTAAGTTTTACAATTACATATTCAACTCCTCATTTTAACTTAAAAGTACTGGCTTTTAATTCAATTAATTTCCTTCCTTTTCTTATTTTTTTTTTTTGCTTTTTTTTTGGAATAACGGATAATCATAAAACTAGACAATTCATAAAAAATAGGGATTAACATTGTATCTTTATAAATTAAACTATATTAATGAAAAAAAAATGCAGAAATTCTAATAGTCATTAAATCAGTTCCGGGTCGTAGCCAAAAAAAGCGATCATTATTCTATAAATTATACTAATTACTGTAATCGAATTGCGAGGTCACAGCAGAAGTCACAACAAAGATCGGCTTCTCAACGATACACTTTGAATCCTAACATCAGATCATTTATGACAAAGGTAATGCTGTGACGAGATAGAATTAGTTTATTTGAAAAAAAAGACAGTCACGTAATAAAACAAGATAAATAAAAAACATTTATCCATACAGTTCTTTTTTAAAAATTTAGTACTGCGAAATTCAAATGAAATAACAATCCAATACAGTTAAAAAAAAAATTAAATCACGCATATATCATTCTGTACATTAAATCAAACATAAAAATTTAAAAATAGAATCAAATAAACATTATGTACATATGGATAAATTTGAACTAAAAAGTATCAATAAACCCTTATCAAACTCTGACCCCCCCGGCCGAAGAGGAATGAGCAACACTCAAAATAGTTGTAGGCTAATAACAATATTCCAATCACGAATCACAGTCAATAATAGAAACCGTACACCCTATATTACTTTATTCTAAGGTATAGGTTATATGAGTAACCCAGAGGTTATGCTACAATAATTTACAATAAATGTTAGCTAATGACTTAAATTTTATATATATATACATACCAGATGTATGTGTACATATACATTAGCTATTATTGGTTGAATAGACATACGCCATTGTGAGGTATATTTGAAGTACACTTTTGTTGAAAAATTAATCAATAAATGTGTTTTGTATAATTACAGACTCACATACATGAAATAAAAATTTTGAGGAATGAACTGTATACATATACATATATATATATATATTTTTTTTTTTGGTTATTCGTGTAAATTTATTTAATACTTAAATCCAACAAGAATCGAAGCACTCAGTCTTGCTAGGTGTACAATTCGTGTGAAAATAAACCAAATTTATCTTAGCTACAAAGATAAAATTTGGCAGGCATCAAATGAGGCACATTGACTAATGCAATAAAAAATGGTTTAAAACCAATACCAATTAATATTAAAATAAACAAAACAGTTTTATATCCATAAAATCAAAACGATTACTGTCATACGTTACAGTTAGTATGAAAAATTCAAATTTTCATCTCTTTTTTTAAATTTTTTTATTGCAATTAACACTAACAGAGATGTAGGGTAACAACTTATTCGAATGAAAATAATAAAATATTAATAATAAGAAGAAATTCCTAACACTCAGTCTGACATGGCTGATCAATTCGATTAACTAAATTTTTTTTTTTTTTAAGTGTCATCAAAAATTGATTTATGGCCAATTCACAAGTTTTTCAACGGCTGTGGAGAAATATGTGTAATTATCAAAATTGATATAACTCATACATCCTGTTACTTTTGTAAAAACAAAAATTAATCTTATAAATATAACTGATTTCGTACCTTATTCTTATAATAAATATTAACAATTAGATTTTGAAGAAAATCTAATGGGTCTTAGTAAAACCGTTGATAATAGAGAGAAAAATCCCAGAAATTAATTAGAGAAATGGATATGAAGACATTAGAAAATTTTAAATTTAAAAATGATGGTTTATAGCTTATGTTACAAGTTTTTAGATTAATATAAATAGTGCTTACATCTCAAAACATTTCTTATATAATTTCCTTTTGTATTGTGAAAATTTTAAATTGGACACTATTAACATATTTGATCAGTTAAATTGAAACGAACGTTTTGATGTAAATATTTTCTTTTGATAATGTGTTGATTATAAGCAAAAGTTAAGTGTATGATACTGATTGACCATGCCTGACGGAGTGTTAAAATGTTTTTAAAAAATTTTGAAACAAAATTACATATGGAAATTTTAATTTATTTCTCCTCGTGCTAATTTTTAATTCTAAACTTATAATATATAAAGCACAATGGCATTAATCCAACAACCATTACAAAACAAAAACATACAAATATATATATTATATATAAAAATCAACTTCAACAAACTAGCATTAATAATTTAGAAAATAATTAAAAGAGGAATCTCTGGTGGCAGCTATAAATATTGTATCAAATACACTTTATTATACCATTAATTCATACATATCGTTTATTAACATCATACAAATCACCATACCCCACACATTTCCATAGTTACATTTAATTATTGAGGAAATTAAAATATTTCGGTCTCAGCAATTATGGAATAGACCAAAAACTTCATTCTGCTTATTACCACTATATAAAAATACAAAACTATGATATTCTTTTTAATTTTATTTTAATCCAATTCCTTGATAAAATATTTTTTTTTTTCATGCATATTCTAAACCAATATAAAATTTATTGCAGCAATAAAACATTTAACATCGCTAAAGGAAAAATAACATTAAACACTTACGACAGAATATGTATTTGGTCATTTCTTTTTTTAATTTTTCGATAAATTAATTTTTTTTGTAACTTTTGCATTAAGTATTTTTGTAAAATTACATAAATAATTGTAATAGAAGCTGATAAACAGAACAACACTATCAGTCAGTATGAATCCAATAATTGACTATATACCGAGGAAGCATACAATTTTAAATATAGAAACTAAATAAAACAAAAAAAAATTATCAACTTATTTATTTGCCAATATTATCATGTCATACTGCTTAATTAGTGAAAAAAGAATATATATTTTAATAGCGAATGATTTTTTTTTTTTATGAAGTACTGACAAGGTAAACGGAATATGAAATAATATCAGAAATATTAATAAGAACAAAATATCAGCTGGTCAAATGATGAATAAATAAATAATATTTTTGGACCAGAAATTAACAATAATTAAAAAAAATACCATTTCTTTTCAATAAGTAAAAACAACATATCAAGACCATAATAATATCAACAAATAAATCAATCAATTCTATTTTGCTATCTAATTTCACTATAGTTAAGAATTTCATTATATAATATGGACTGTAAACATAATGTCACTATAATATCTTAATCAACACACGATAAATGCATAAAAAAAAATTAATACAGCATAAAAGCACTTAGGTAGAGAATATTCGCTACTATATGTATATAACTAACAAAATTTAGTATTTTATAAATCTAGATTTGCACCTTGCTTTTTTTACCACAGAATACATTATGAGTCTCCATTTTATTGTTTGTTTTTTTTTTGTATTTTTTAAATGGTTTTTTAAAACAATTTTCAGCCTAGTTTTATACAAGACATTGGAGAAAAATATACATATATATAAATTTCGTAAAGGAGTTAGAAACTAGAGAGATCTCTCGACAAAGAGAGACACAAGAGATAATTTCTTTACTGACATCAAGTGAGATCTGCTAATCTTGGCGTCATTATACGGATATGTGTGGGCGGAGTCGTACTATGGCTACGAGTATTGTTTCTCGTCATATTCCATTACAAGGCGCTTAATATGGGACAGTTTTTCATGAAGATAATGAAACCTTCGTTTGGCATCTTGATGCCTGGTATTCCTATTATTTTCTTCGTATTCCCTCATTATTTGATCCTTAATGCGCTGTAACAAAAACAAAAAATTAAATCTTTAATATTTTTTAGATGATTTATTATTTCCTAATACTTAAATATCAAATTATTTATGTTCCTTAGCACTTAGAGGAAAATCAATATAAATATTTATTAATACTAGTAGGCCCGTGCGAAAAATTCGCACAGCATATTGCTTTCAAATGTCAATTTAATAATAAAATAAAATAATGCAACTAGTCAAAATATAAAGAAATCAATTGTTACTTTATCGATAAATATAATCGACAAAGGAAACAAAAATTAATTTGAATCTTCATTAATGTTTGGAACCGACATGTTTACAAATTTCAATAACCTGTATCTTTGCTAAAAATTGTCCAATTTTGATGATTTTTTCCTTTTGTAGGGAATTTAGTAATCTTTTATACAATCATGGGCATAACCCAGAGAAAAATGTGTACTTTTTTAGTTATTCGAAAATAAAGTTTGTTTTCTTTCATAACTTGTTTGCCTAAATTTTCGAGGTGATTGGACTATTTTTCCCACCTGAAGGAGAAGGAAGCCTGCGAAATTGGTGGCTCCATCTTGAGATTTGATGAAGAATTAACGATGATATGGCTTGCTGATCAAAAACAACATCGATAACTAATATTAACTCCTCCTCTCTCGATCTTAGAGACCTCAGGTCGACGAAATGAGACATGTATTCAATGACAGTACTACAATTAATGTAAGGTTGTGTGGATGCGAACCCTATGCCTTGCGTTATCTCAAAAATAGTACGTTTTTGGGCTTAAAAATGTAGGATCCGATAGTTCTGGAGGTACAATCCGGGTCTTGCTGTACGCATCAAAATGTTTAAGATCCAATTTGTCCCGTATCAATCTACAGAGCTACCACCATTATAGTATTGAAGCATAGCAAAATGTTTTTATCGACTTTATTTATTTTAGAAAGAAAAACAAAAGTGGAGAATACGATTCGCTAACCCCCCAGTAAAATTCTGAATCCAATGGTACCCCATTCTTGGTATTTGAGCATGGCAGGAGCTTATATTTGGTACAAAACCGATTTCGAGCTTTACAGTAATAATATATGTGGGGATTAGCGTGCATAAGAATATATATATATTTTTAAATTATTTGAAAAGGGACATAAAAAAATTTCGATTGATTCAGTTGAATACCAAAACAAAGTAGATCAGCTTCGGAAAAGATCTTTAAAAAGCAATATCTTAGCACCAAATCATCCAATCATTCTTTTTTAGGAAATTCAATTGAACCATAACGTACTAAATACTTTTTGAGATATTAGGAAATCTAATCTTTGCATCCCTGTTAAGCTTGAATAAAACAAGAAATGTTTAATTTTTAAGAACTTATGTTAACCACAACAGCTCAAAGCCGCTAAGGAGACTCATGAGATATTACTAAAGCTTAATAAATGGGAAGGAATGATGCATCCCAAATAGAAACCTGACCTGACATGTTATGTGTTTGGTTTGTCCACTAAAAGTCATGCAACTATGTTTTAGGCGAACAGCTGGATCCATTTATAAGTTTGATGGCTCAAATTATTCTGTGATATTTCTTATGTGTTTTGAAACAACCTGAGCTAAAATAAAAACTAACCTGCTATTGAATAACATGTGTTTCGTCAATTCACTTAAAAATATAAAATGATTTTGTAATGATCTAAATTACCAAGTAAAATGGTCTGTGCGTATGTGTGTGTTAACAGTCTAGCTCAAAAGCGAAAAGTGGTAGGAAAGTGAAATTATATGATAGGGATCTTACAGCATCTTTTTTGTCAAAATCGGCTCAAACGATTTTGATTAAATTCATAATATTAGTGTCAAATTAAGCAGTTTTAAATAAAATGTAGTTTTTATTCTGATTGATGTTCTCTAACAGGGCTTAAATGGCTAATTTCCAATATTAGCTTCACCTAAAGTACCTTTAATTTTTTTTTTTTAAATAAATAATCATTTCACATTTATCTCTAATATAAAATATAATTAAATATACAATATGAAAGAATTTGATAATTAACTAAAGGCACCAGATTTTTGTTTTATTGTTTCTCCCTTGATTACCACATAGCTTGCCATTTCTGGCATGTAAGGGAGAGGGTTGTTCTAGATGTACAAACCAGAATGGGAAGGTCAAGATTGATTCCATGGGTTCGATCTTCAGGTTGCTTGAACCAGCTTTCTAGAGTTCCGCCTATCTTGGCCCACTACTTTCTTGCCAACTATTGAGATATTTTTTGTTGTGTAGAGACTTTCTGGTGGATTGCATCGAGCTACACCCTCCATCCAACTTTAACCTTCTTTTTCTCACATTGGCACAATGAACTACGGACCTCAAAACAAGAAAAAAATTTCCTCTGAAGTTATGTCCGCAAACGGTTTGTTTAGGAAATATTCACACCTAAAGATTTTCATTGTTATGAATTATTTACTTTATATGAAATAAAAAAACCTATTTATTTGTTCTAACTATTTTATTAATTAAATTTAAACATTAACATTCATATTAAATGTTGTTCCTAATCCACAATTTTCAGGAAAAATTCTCTCGACAGATGATGTTACTATTACAAGAAGAGGTATCATCAATCAGAAAATTAATCATCTCTGGTCCTAGGAAAATCCTCATGCAATTCGTGAGCATCATTTTCAGTGCAATGTGTGGTTGGGAATAATAGACAATATTTTATTAGACCCGCATTTCTTGCCGCCTCGACTCAATGCGGGCACATTTCTGGAATTTCTTAATAATGATTACTATGATTTGGTTGAACATATTCCACTACACTACAACTGAGAAGGGACATGTGGCTTCATTTAGATGGTTTTCCTGCACATTATGGAAGAGATCCAGGACAATGGATAAATGTTAATTATTCCAATCAATGGTTGGCCGTGCAGAACCAGTGGCTTGGCCTGCATGCTCTCCAGACCTGACACTACTAAATTTTTTTGTTTGGGGTGACATAAAAAAAAAGTCTATGCAAGTCCAGTCAATGACCTTCATTCCTTACAAAAAAGGATAATTGAATCTTATGAAAAAATAACACATATCCAGTGCCGTTCTGCCACTGCTGCTGTTGATGAAAGGTACCGAGTCTGTCTTAATGCTCAAGGAAATCACTTTGAACAACATTTAATTAATAAAGTAGTTGGAACAAATAAATAAGTTTTATTTACTTAATATAACGTAAATAATTCATAACAACAAAAATCTTTAGAAATGAATATCTCCTTCATTCAAAATTCATAGGAATTTTTTTTCTTGTTTTGAGGTCCTTAATTGATAGTTAAAGTTGGGCAACTTAACCCTGAAGACCGACAAATTTCCAATGTCTGGAGGACTTTCCTTTCATTGCTGGTTCTGCTTTCTAGGCTGATAGAGATAAAGTCTCGCAGTCATGTATCAGAACTAGTTAGGCTTCTACAGATTTCAGCATGTTTGAAAGAGAAAAAAGCTATCTGTGCACTTGATATAAGCGAGGTGTCTCATTCGTTAGTCACTTATTCAGGTTATTGTGGAATAGTAGTATAACAATCTGTCTACTGTTGGAAATGATTTGCAGATCTAGTAGTTAAACTGGATTTCTTCAGCTTACTGTAATGTACTTTGCTTTACCTTTATTTTTTGGCTGATTCGCTCTGCTTCTCTTATCTCTTAACGTTTTAATCACTTTTGAGAACAGCTATATCATCCAATTACTCTAATGTTTCATTCTGATGTTCAAATTTCCATTTTCATATGATTTTTTTTTTTATCACCATCAGTGAACGCACGTCTAAGTTGAAAAGCAATGGCGAGAGTCCATCTCTTTATCTCAGACCTGTTTTAGCTTCAAAGGCTTCAGATACTTCTTATCACTTGTAGACAACTTAATCAATTTTTCAGTTTTAATTCCCACTAAAAAACATTCATTACTTTCATATTAATCATCATCATTTTCATATTAAGTAGAGGGATGTAATTCATTATATATGTGTTGAAGTTGAAAAAGTCAGGTGTGGTATTTAAGACCCTATGGTTAATTTAAAACTAACCTTGACTTGAGAAATTTGAGGCTTTTATTGAGGATGTTGCAAAAATAACCTGTTTATTATGTAATTAAAAACCTATTAAGAACAATAATGTAAACAACAAAATAATTTCTATAAAAGAAAAAAAAAAAAAGTTATTACCTGCCAACCTTCGCTGCCCTTTTCTTCCTTTTTTAATTGCTCTTGGAGCAATGTGAATTTTTTAGAAACTTGTTCGACTTGCGAATGTAACCTCTTGTACTCGCTATAGTTAGCATTGAAGTCTTCCTTATATTTCCGCCTCTGGTCTACATCTTTTATCGTTGTATAATCACTGAAATAAAAAATCCATTTATTGATACAACAAAATGATCACATAAATCAAGTGAAATTAAGAAAAAAGTAAAAAAAAAAAAAATTAATTACATTTACAGCTAGAGATTATAAATTAATATAACTCTGAAACTAATAAGATATAAAATCATTAAAATTTCTGAGTATAAAATTATGTAATGATTCCAACCCTGATTAGATTAACCTTTCCCAAGTAATTACACATTATGGTTATTCATGTAACCAGGTGCTAAGTATTGTAAACCTCTTAAATGTGTGTGGTGTAAAAGTCGAGAAAATTATTTACGAAATGTGTGTCAAATATGGCAACTAGCACTTTCGACTTAAACGCAGCCTTCTGTAAAGTGGTGCTAACTTCGTAAACACGCGTAGAAAGTTATTGTAAGGTTTTGATGTATTTGATTCTTTGTTTTTTTATGTGTAAAATATCCACAGGAATGGAATGTAAAGACAGCTAGGATTTCATTTATGTATTCATCAAGTTCTTTGCCTTCTGAATCATCTAAATCTTCACTCATGTTTTCTAATAAAGCATTTTTAACCAAATAGTCCAGCAACTCAGTCTTTTCACTGTGCTTTGACATTTTAAAAATAAATCAAAACGTTAGCAAACCAATTAAGAACTCACAAACTTTATTTACAGTTCAAGCATAACCTTACTATAAATAATAACACTTTAGCAGATGAGCACAGGCAAGTTATTTACAATTCATTAAAAATGTGTGATGACTGCTTAGCATGATAACACATTAAGCATTTGTAATAAGTGCATGAATTATATAATGTAATCTATTCTACAAATAAATTATTAAATTTACTAGTCAGCCCGTGCAAATAATTCGAATAGTATTTAGTCAGTAAACGATTGTGTATATAATATAGAAATAAATAAATGCGATGTATTATAAGATAGAGGAAATAATTTTCTTTTTCTTAGTTGAATCATATTAGTTCATTCATAACAATAAAAAAAAAAATGTGAACATTACTGTCGACTGTATCTTTGTAAATAATTGTTAAATGTCGATACTTTTTTTTTTGTGTGTGTGTAAGGAATTTAATAATCTTTCAAATAATCATGGATGCAATAAACAAAAAAAAATGTATACTTTTTGAGTTATTCGCAAATGAAGTTTCTTTTCCTTCATACATTTTTTCCTGAAATTTCAGGAGGATGTGTTTGATATCTCATTCATCAAAATCCATTGCTCCTGAGAGCCAGAAAAGGTATTATACGTTAAGATAGGTAATTTGATTCTTTAGGATTAAAATCATAATGTCAACAAAATATTGAGTCTAATTAATTATATTTTGGTAATTGATAATTTATATATAATTGGATTTGTATAGAGTGCATATTTTCGGACTTAGGAAAGGAAGTATATTAATGCTACTAACTGCTAATAATATTACTACTTTGGGTTATGCTATCTATTAACTATCTATATATCCATATGTACATATGATATTAATAATATCTTGTTATTATTATTTTATTATTATTCTCATCTTATTGTATTCAAAATACCTGAATATTTGAAATTTAAAAAAAAAATTTGTAAACTTGGAAAAACTTATTTATTACTATTGGCACTTACTGATAGATATTGCCATTCGGTCGGCCCAAACGGTGATTATCGTTAAACTCAATAAAACTTTATATCGTTACCGTTAGTACAAAAGGTCATAAAATTTTACTTATTTATTCTCTTTGCACTAAAGGTGACATGTTGTAGTCTGCAACTTCTATAAGTAGTCTGCTAAATAGGAAAATATATTTTATTTTCCTACTTATAGAAGTTGCAGACTACAAAATGTCACTTTTTGTTCAAAGAGAATAAACAAGTAAAATTTTATGACCTTTTGTACTAACAGTAGAGATAACAATTTTAAGTTTAGCCATACTTTTAACGGAGTTCAATTACAAAACATCACTAAGATAAAAAATTGTCCTAGCGGAAATAACTTTGGTAAAATCAAAAATAAAAAAAAATCCATAAGAATAATTAAATATAAAGATTACTCACATGCGGTATTTTGGTAAATCAGGAGGCGGGGGATGTTTAGGTGGTGGTGGAGAGGTATCCTGTGGTGGCGTGGGCGGAGAAGGGTGAGGCAAACCACGCGGAGGGACGCTAGTGGCTGGTGGAACTACAGGTCGCTTGTAGTGTGATATCCTTTGCCTCTTGACGAGAAGACCGTCAGCCCCATCATAATATCCGGGCCTTTTCGATGGCTCAGTCGCTGATGGTGGGCTTCCAGGGTGAATAGAATTTGGTGATTGAGAATCCGAACTGCCAGGAGGAGTTAAATTCTCTGGTTTCCGCCTGATGAGAAAAATTGGCAACACTGATTATTATGATCATTAATATAACCCAGTAAAAAACTTACCAAGAGACAGAAATTCAATGATAAGTTATAATTAGGAAAATTCCAACCACACAGCCTTATGTCTCCAAAATGCAGGCAAAGAATAAAAAAAACTAACAACGCCAATGCAGCCATCACCATAACCTTTCTCAGCTGTTACCTTACTTTCCTTTCCCAGTACTTGATAGGGTGTTGTAGAGGGATTTAATTTTCAATTTGCTTTTCATAAATAAAAAAGGCATAAACCTTCCCCAACCCCTCTCAAGATATTTTATTGCTATCTTCTTCTTAAAAACAGTGGAAATGAAAGTAGAATTTAAATATTCGTAGATTATATACAATTACACATATGCGGTCTGTTCCATGCTTCCACTTGTCTTTTAATTTGAAACTTTTCATTTTGAAAATTCATAACCTCATCGAAATGTGCCTCCCTCAAAAATTGAAAACCCCATCAAAAAGTGTCCTCCTCATAAATTTTGATGGTGCAACATAGGCCATTAAACTCCCTTCTGGGAACCCCTAATGATGCCTGGATTGGCGTAACGTTTACAGGTTTTTTATTCTTAGCCTCAATTTTGTAGACATAAGGCTAAGTGGTTGGAATTTTTCCAATTATAATCTAATTATGATTACTTTAGATAATTTTTAACTTTTATAACCTAAAAAATGCCAGTTTTTGAATATTAATATAGACTGTAAAGTCATAAAGCTATAAGCTATAAACTCCACCAACTTTAGTTGACAATTAATTTAATAATAAATTAATTTTTTACCTAGAGCTATAAATTAAAGCTGCAATTTTTCACAATATATAAAATAATATACTCTAGTGAGCTTGCCAAAAATAACTTCTTAAGTGACATGTATTCACTTTATGTGTCACATATTATTACAAAATTGACATTTTGGGAATATTTATCTTATCATCAGAACTTTCTGTTCTTTTCTACAATATAAACATTATTTATAAATATATTATTATAAATTATTATGATTTAAAGTTAAATTTACCTAATTAGAAAATATGCTTCAATAATATTTTCAATTAAGATATGGTCAATAACATTTTCTTTTTTTTTTTTTTTTCGGATGATGTTAAATAGGTAAATTTAACTTTAAATCATATCAATTTATGATTATTTGAACAATATATTTATAAATAATGCTTATATTGTAGAAAATAATAGGAAGTTCTAATGATGAGAAGAAGGATATTACCGAAACGTTTTAACATTGTAATAATATATGACCAATAAAGAAAATACATGTCACTAAGGAAGTTATTTTTGCCAAGATCACTCGAATCAATCCAAAACTTCTCAATAAAAAAAAAAAAAATTATATACTTTTCACCCAGAAAAAATGGGGGGAAAAAAAAGTGAACGAGTAAAAGATGGTAGTTATACCTTTTGAGCATCTGTTTATCCTGTTCAGAATAAAAAGGCCAGTCCTCCTGAACATCATTCCAAACATGGCGCATTAAATGATATGTGTTGTCTTTAATTGTTGCAACACTCAAAATTGTATTCATTAAGTTAGACCTATCTTTTTCTTTAATTCCATCTAAAAAATAAGAAAAGATAAATGAATTTTTTTAATTTCTACAAAGATGCATACTAACAATTTACATATATACAACTATTAATATATAAAATAAATACAAATTATGTTAGCAACAAAGAGCGTTGATAGTTATAGCTAAATTTATTACAGTTAAATTTTAAAAAACAACAGCTGTTGTTGATATTCAAATGTATACCTCAGTATGGGGTTAATCTCAGTTTGATACCATGACATAAATAAACCTACATTCGTTATTTATGATAAAGATATGTAATAAAAACAGAATATTTCTTAAAATAAATAATTACCTCTATTTAATGTTGCGTAAAGTTCGGGTTTCTTATATGGCCTTACAGCTAATAGGTGAATTATCCTATCCCTGTAACAGAAATATAAGCTCTAAATACATAAACGATTTAGGAATGATGTAAGGCATAAATTTTGAACGAATATGTTTGAGTCAGTTTGCCAAGATAATAAATTTTTAGAATACACAATCACACACTAAATTAGCCTATCTTTTATTATATCAACATCAAAACAAATATTAAGGAATGTAACTTAATCTTCTCAAAAATATCTTTTACATGTAAAATGTAAAAAATTAACTTTGGGAAATCTAACTTGCTAAGCTCACCATCATTACTCACAACTATCATTTACCCCCATTTCACATATGCCAGCCAGCTCACGGATCTCATTCCTCTGTAATCATTCACCACTATTACAACCTCGGACTGGATTGGTGTCATTACGCTGTATATATATGTATCACATGATATAATAACGTGAACCTTGGGATAATGAAATAAACAACCACTCAACATAAATATATTGTTTAAAGATGTTGAGAAAATTAGTAATATTTACTTTCCATACTAAATCTAAAAAAAAAAATCCTAATGAATCTTTAAACTCTCATCAATGGATATATTAAATAGAATGTTATTTATGTTAAACATTCAAATAGATAGAAAATTTTACTGTAGTCTTTCTATATATGCATAAATGGTGCTAAGTTTAAGCAAAAGTACTTGCACATGAATTCTGATATAAAAACATATCTGAATTAAATATAGGATGAAAAAAAATGTATACAGTGCAATCTCACTAATCCGGCCCTATATCAGGATTGGATATAATATAATTCTGATGTTAATAAGTAATATATTACTAATGATAATATATGATATATTACAGAAATTGCCAGATTAGTTAAATAAATTAAAAAACTAGAAAATCTCATGTAATTATTTATGAAAACTATTTACAAATTTTTATTGAAATAATAGATGTAGAAAAAAAAATCACAATCTAAGAAATATTTTAAACAATACATTAATGAACTCAATATTTATAAAATAAAAGACATAACATTTTACTTGGATGATAAATATTCAGGACACACTCATTATGAAGTTTTTATTAGTGCTGACGTTTCAAACCAAACATTTGGGTCATCATCAAGGAGTGGTTCGAGGAATGAAGTTATTTAAGTACTATGTCTGAGACAGAGTAATTGAATACCTTCAGTGCTCGAAACACGCCCTGATGATGACCCACATGTTTGGTTTGAAACGTCGGCACTAATATCAGCACTCTGTTTCCCGTTTTTATGCAGAGTTGAAGCGGCTTTATACTTTCTACCGTCCTAAGTATTTCCTGGCATCCTTCCTCTTTCAAGTCATCCAATCCCACCGTCCTTCATACATCTCTGAGCTCCTTCAATTCAAATCCTCTGTTCGCTCCCGCAATACTCGTTCCAGGTCTTCTGATTTATACATAAGGGCCCACCGAACTGCTGCTTTGGACAGATCGTTGTTCATTATCCGATCCTCATCCCTATGGAAATCAATCCCTTCCCACATCCGTCAATCCAAATACCCTTCCTACCTTTAAATCCTGCCTGTTCAATCATTTCTTATCCATCCAGTCCCCATAAAATTGTAAATAGATACCACTGTAAATATGTATATAAATTATTAGATCGTTCTTCATTATTTTCAATTTTTTTATTATTAACTTATTTAAGTTAGAAAGTAACTTATAATTTTTTATTATTACTATTTCATAACTCAGCATTTTTTTTATGTATCTCTGAGGCTCCTTAGCCCACATTTCTGTCCTGTATTATTCTAGAGAGACTCATCCCAGAATAAATAAAGTATTATTATTATTATTAATAAAAACTTTATAATGACTGCATCCTGAATATTTATTACTCATGATATGTAGAACAGTCGACTAACTTCCTCTAACATTTTACTGCTTAAACTGTAGAACAAAAGGTTAAATAATTTGAAACGGTTCAATAATTTCAGTAGTGAAACATTTTTTTTTTTTTATGAGAAGGAGTTAATTGGGGGGTATTATAAATAAATACTAAATTAAATAATTACTATATTTTAATTTAGTATTTATTTGACCGTAACCCCCCAATTAACTCCTTCTCATATTATATCAACGGTCAACCATCTCTACACCATTTTTTTTTAAATTATAAGAAGTCCGTACTAACCAGCGCTTGCACATAACTCGTCCATTTTCATAATTTAGTAACAAAACATTTTTGCCTTTTTCATGAGGATTTCTCTTGAATTAAACATGTATAGGTTTCTTTCTTTTATGAAATAAATCTTTTACTTGTGGAAACCCATTTGGTTTCAAATTTCTCGGGCCATGTCATACTCCTTTTAAAAATTACTACTTTTTCTAAATTTTTAAAAACAGATTGACTTCCAATTTTTAAAATAGTTTTCAAGGAAAGATAAATATAATATCAGTATTCCAAAAATTAATTACAAACTTTTAAATTAGTTAAGTCATTGAAAACAGCAATGTGATATCTTAAAAGTATTATGATGAGGCTTCGAAATTTTAATATAACTACTTAAATAGAGTGAGTGGAATTCAGTTTTTCAACCCTTACAGAAAACAGAGGAAATGAAGTATTAAAACTAATTTATTATAATTGTTTCCGTTGGTTTTTGAATTTCGATTTAAGTTGGTTTCTAACAATTTCTGTTGGTCGATTCGTCATACCTATTTCAAATATTTAATTTTATGCAAAATTTGCTTTCATTCTGAACTATCAGTTCAAAAATAACATTTGCCTTAAACATACCTATTATTCCCGATCTTGTTTTAAACATTTTATTATATTTTATTTTCTCTCTTTAGAATTTTTGATAAAAAATGAAAGAGTTATAACTTCATATTACTATAAAAATATTGTCCCTCATCATAGTAAACTATGAAGCCTATGTCAAATTAAGTCGATTTTGGTCTATATCAAATTTTCCTAGGTAGAAGTTGAACCAAAATGTTAATCGAACTTTTACTTTCTTAAAAAAAAAAAATATGACCTATATTCATCTAATTAAGAGACTTTCTACGTTAACATGACGTGTCTTCACACAATAATCACTTTTGAGAAATTAAAGATGGATGTTCTACAATATAGAACTCTTACACACATTTGGGAACTTGAAAAGATACTATAGAGCTCGACGGACATGCCAAAATAGCGAATGGCCGGATTAAGGAGACAGTACTGTACACCAACGTTTGGAAAATAACAAACCCATTAAAATTAATAGGGATACTCATGCAACTTTTGGTAAATGCTCAATATTTTCTGCTAAACAGTTAGCATAAATCTAGAGTGAAAGACCCCCTCAGTGCTAATCCACTAAAGTTTTATCAGCTGTAGTGAGTTCATTCAAATATTCAATCCCAAAAATTTGTGTTTCACTCGTTGATACTAAGATTTAATAGTTTATTTTTCTTTTATTTGGATACTGATTGTTATCAGAAATCTGGCAACCCTATATTTATTAAGAATTGAAAAAAAAAACTTTATAAAATTGTTTACCTGGATTTTAATCTGCTTTTCTGTAATTAGGGATATGAGAAGATTTTTGCACTCTTTCTCACTAACATTTTCCCAGTTCTTTCCGTATTCTTTTCTTATACTACATTTCTCTTAAAAGGAAAGTACTGAACACAAGATGAAAACCTCATAATAATCTTCTCCACATGTTTTCGAAATTAGTACAATTTTTAACAGACCTCAGGCTGTGTTAAATTAATCCGAGCACCTTGGAGATCATAGTTAGCACACAAATGTTAAATGTAAGTTTCTAAAGTTTAACAAATTAAAGAGGATTAACATAGTTAGCATTGGTTGCATGAATACCCCTGAAGATTGGAAAGAAGGTAATAATTAAATGCAAAAATATGTGGTTTTGTTTTTCAAATATAACATAACTTAATTATTAAAACTTTCTTGAAAAAAATTACCTTATCGGCCTCTTCATGAGGTCAGGGTTTCCTGGCTTCTGTGCCTGGTTATTACCCTGCGGTTTGGTATGGGGTGCGGGTGGCGTAGTAACAGCTGGTAAACTTCTTCTAGCGGCGATGCCACCGCCATTTACTACTTTGCTCCTAACTTTCACTCTGCGACCGATACCAGTCTTATCAAGTTCTATCTCTCTAGTGCTGAAATGAAATTATAATGAGTCAGAAAATAATTATATGAAAACAATATGGATAGGTTTTAAAGTTTGAGTTGCTACATAATGAATATAGAATCAAAGGTTAATGTTATAGGATTCTCGAGTTTTTGCTCAACATACATGCTTTAAGCTCAAAAAAGGGTTCATTCGGCTTAAAGGTACTATTTTGCTGATACTGCCCGCCGCACAAACATAGTACTGGATATATTCAAATATTCCTAAATCCAACTAATCCAAGACTTTTTTTTTTTAAAGCGGCATGAGTGCTCTGCTGCCTCATAGGCCGGTTGTACGTAAGCCTTTATTAAAGTCACTCCTGTTTAGAGCGTAATTCCTGCAGTCTCAATGAACTGTTATAAGCTTGTTGGATTGATGAACTCGTTTGCCTTGGGATCAGTCACCCTACCAATGCCAAATAATTGGAATCTTAGTCCAGCAAACCTGTCACATCAACAAGTAATGTGATAAGCTGTCTCATCCTCCTGGCCATAGTACCTACAAAGAGACGACGCCATGAGCCGGAGATTGAACATTTGATAATTCAGTCTATATGACGCTGTAATTTTCTTAAGTGAGCTCCTGCCCAGATTGATTTGTAGATTACTTATTTTTTGACAGATTCCTTCCAGAAACAGTCTAGAGTGAGTCTGTTTTTCCAAGCACCAATTATTTTTAGCTTCAGCACCATATAGATCTCCCCAATGCTGTTTATTATTAGACACTAACAAATTCCACAGATGGGTTCAAGAGCTACAGGTATCATTTGTGAGGCTAGTCTAGCTAGTTCATCCGCCACCTCATCAACATGTATTCCAGAGTGACCCGGAACCCATTCAATAATTCAACATTAAATAATGGGAAAAGTTTAATTTCAAGTAAATATTCAAATCCAAACACTTAAAAAATAAATTAGTCTTATATAATTAAAGTTCTGATTTAAAAATTACCAAATGAGAAAAAAATTATCTATAGTGATTTAATTACAAATGTATGATATTTATTACTGAAATGATCAGTAATAACAAGTGCTAATAATAAGTAATAAATTTAAAATCAGAAATAAATCAACAATTTTTAAAGTATATTTCGTCATATTCTTTCTACCACGAATAAGAAGGTGGACATTAATACGTAGATAAACATTAACATTATATAACCTAACCTCATTATTATTCAAATTCAAATAACTGGAAAATGGTGTGTATTAATTAAATAAGATCAAAACTCCAACATCGAATTTATATTTATATTACTGTCCTTCCAATATAAAAGAAAACCATTAAATTTAAGGATAAAGTTTTTATTTCAAATGTTGCTGAATCAAGAGGAGTTGGGCAGTATGGTGAGCAGTTTCAGCAAAATACACAAGTATTAATGAATGGCAGTACGAAATGATGGTTGATGCCAAGGGCAGTACCAACCAAATAGTAACCGAAAGAGGAAATAAAAACGTCTATAAATGAGGAGACGAGAACAAGATTAATCAGGAAATTTACCTGAATACTTATATAAATTATAAAACTAGAAAACAAAAACATATAAAACTAAAACAGAATATAAACAATTACATACCAATTTTCTTTTTGCTGCTTTTCTGCAGCTTGCATTCTACTCCTCGTAGTTTCGTAAACGTCTTCATTGGCATGAACACGCATTTTACATGGCAGAGATCCAACCGTTTCCAAACTTCTACAAAAATAAAGAAGAAATACTTAAAATTTTAATCTTGAACTTAGGACTATTGAAATTTAAAAAGACATTTCTTAGAAGCACAAGAATATTATTATACCGACTAATAATAGTATAAGTAAAGATGTAATAAATGAAAGATTTAAAAGGGTATTATTTTTTAAATAATGAATGCAATAACTTGATTTTTTAAAAATATAAATATAGTAAGATAGTATGAAATAAAGATTGAAATACTTTAGAAGAAGAAGAATATATATATATATATACTAACAGATAATATAGAAAATAATCAATACATATGTACTCACCTCTGTCCCGAGTGCCGTATACACTCGAAGGACCCTTGCGGTCCCTCAATATCGGAGTTATTGGAAAGACTGAACTTGAACGCTGACCTAGAGCGGGGTGATTGGCCATTTGGGAACAATAGGTGCTGAAATAATAAAATAAAATTTTAAATTTATATATATTGATACCATTTCATTAAATAATCTAATGTTCATTTTTAAAATTATAATATAACAAAACCATTTATATAAGAGATTAACAATTAATCACACGATTTTAGAAAATTAAATTATTGCTTCTTGAAAATAATTGGGCGATGAATCTATCAAAAAACATAAAAATCGAAACAACTAAATCTGTTCTAGTACTAAAATTTATTAAATCTGTATAATAATTATAAAAACCTGTACATGTTTTTTTTTTTTTTAAATATAGTACCGATAGTTCACTACAAGTGTGACTGTTATTTAAAAAGTAAGGATATTGGAATTGGTTAAAAAAGGGTATAAGAAAAAAAAGTCAATTGGATAAAACAGAAAAATAACAAAAACCTTACGTTAATAGGCACAAAGGCATTATGTAGTTTTGTGTAAAAAATGACAGTACTATTCAATTATTTAAAATTTATAAAAAGTTGTCTTAGAAGAATGAGAGTGGTCTATTGTATTGTACTTAGGCATTAACCGATCCAGTAATTAATTTTGGTGGCTTCAGCTCGAAAACTTTTTTTTTAATATATATTATAATGATAATTACTTTGGAAGAAAAATAAAGAAACTATAAGAAATGATGTATCATTGATTCTTGAAGTCCTATTAAATGTAATTGCATGAGCAATAATACTTTAAGAGATTATTTTTTAATATTTCTTACCATAAAACATGGTTACATTTTACCATTTAGATCCGCCTGTGTACTTATATTTCAAATTGTCAATATTTCAAAATGTGCAATTATAAATTTTCATTAAAAAAATCCATATTTTATCAGGTCGGTTATAGCCATGTAATCAAAATAAAACATATTTCTTTAAAGGAGTGAAAAAGTATAAAAAACCAAACATTTCTTTTCCCTTCTTCAAACATTTCAACTATGAGATACTAATTGCTTCAAAGTCTTACTGTAAAGTCTTGTTAGACTTCTTACTGTAAAGTTGTTAGACTTAGCTTGCTACCTCTTTGGACTTGTTACTTTAAATGCTTATTCTAATGTAATAATTTTTGAGCTTTCTTGCTTTTTTTTTTATTTTTTAGTTAATGTATTTAATTAATGATAAGTCCAGTATAATGAAACAGTAATGTAGCTGATGAACTTCAGATGTTTTTTTTTTCTTAAAATGCAAACTCGGCCATTTTGAAATTTTTACTACCTTTTAACAGACATTAATTATTTTACAAGCTTAATAGTTCTATTAAAATATAATAAATACTGGATTGTAATTGGAAAAACGAGGTTATAACATCTATTTCATATATCCTGGTGAGTTTATACTTGTTTATATATTCATGACAAATACGTTAAAAAATAAAAAGTAATAAACATGAAAACGAAATATGGAATCTAATAAAATAAAAAGAAGTTATAGAAACCCCATCAGAGAGACTCGCCCTTGTCCCAGATCTCCGTTACGGTACAGCCTTTCACCATCTACTCACGTCAAATGAATTTTGGCTATGGTATAGAAATAATACCTTCAAAACCAATAATAATACTGAAATAAAACAAAACAATAACTAACCGCCCTTACAATACGTAAAAGTACAAAGATACTGAAAGCACAAATTGTAATTTGAATTATAATTCAAAATTCTCAATCCCGAAATACATAAGAAGGATAATAACCACTACCACTATATATGCCTAAATAGATAAAGTTTTGATAGGATAAAAATTAATCTTAATGTAAATAGAATACTATGCAGAACTTACGGCAAGCTCCTTAACTCAGCGCTAATCCGCTGGTGCATTTCCGATGCTCATCGATGATCTCAGAGCTGAGTTTAGGAACTTAACCTTTACAATATCTTTCAGTGTCTTACAGATATTTTTAAAAGACAGAGCAAGTTACTAAATACAACGCTGTGCTCATTAATGAGTATCGAAAATGCTTTGGACCGTTCCTAAACTTATCGATGAATACATAAATGGAATTCAGAGCGTTCCTTCATTCATCGATGGAATCGCCACTAAACGGTTCCGACGGCTTTTGGGATCGATGGATCCGCTGGATGTAACCTTATTAAAAACTCAGTATTGTTATTTGTCAATTTAATTTATATTTGGTTGACTTCACATCTATATTTATTTATGTTTTGAAATTAAACAATTCAGCAGATGAATATTTCTTTAAATATTTTTTATTTGATTTACTACCTTCCATGAGTGATAACCTTTCGCCGGAATCAATCGATTGATGGATTTATTCGATAGAATTAGTGTTAATTTAGAAACTTGCCCTTGAATCAGAAATAATACTTACAGAATTCAAATATTCCCCAAAAAGATAAATCCAATCTAAATATCCAAAACATGTTCGATGAGTATGGTTAACTTTAAGAGGGGTAAATAAAATTAAAATATACCCGTTTGGGATTACCGTTAGCAGCTATAATATATAATTGTCATTTGCTTTCATAGTAAAAGAATTACTATAATGTTTTATTTATGAATGATTAATGGTACGTGAAGTTTAACCAAATACATTCTTGGAGGTGAGGGACCCTAAGCGATTATTTTTATCTACAACCCAACAATCCAGAGAGACCACAACCTAAAACATTATCTGGGAAGGCGACATAGTTCCAAATAACAAGGAGGAAAAAATATTGGCAGCCACAGCACAAAGCCGTCCCAGCCAGCCGGTATTAAGATGAGGCCCAAAATAATTTCATTCAAACTAACAAAATTTTATATAAACTTATTCACCATTAAAGAGCAAACATTGATATATGTATCGAAAAAGTGCTTTGAAGAAAAGAATAAAACTAAAGTATGAAAAATTACCTACTATAAAAGAATTCAAGAATAACGAGTTATAGAGGTTGAGGTTTGATAGATAAAATATTTATTGTTTTCCATAAAATCCTACGTAAATATCTTCTTAAACATGGCCTCTTCAGAAATTATCCTCTGATACATTGTATTATAATACTAATGATAAATTAAATGCTATCTTTACATAAAATCACTAGTGCCCAATCTAAGGCACACTGGGGATTAGGAATTTGTACTCGGCGGTTCAGTAGGTTTTTTTTTTCTTGAATTTGTTATTAGTGAAAAAATAAAGCAAGTTCTCTTTCTGTGATGGAAACGAATTTTAGACTCGGCAGGTAATTAATATTAAGAGTACCTACAAACGTTTTAACACTGAATATATATATATATATATATATATATATATATATATGAGAGTTTCTTTCTAAATAGATCCGTCAGTGGTATGCTTTATATTGTATCTGATAAGGTTATAATCGGAAAGGCCAAACACAAAAAAAAATAAATAAATTCAGTTATGGCTTCTATACTCTCAGTATTAGACTTCTATATCCTTAGTAAATGAGAATACTATAAACCAAAAGCTCTCTTCCGTAGCAAACATATAGGCCTTGAGTAGGGATATGAAATCTATCGATATCACCCAATAATGTCTCGAAACAAACGATTCGATATCACCGTAATATCGAAAGAAAAATGAAAATATCGGATTTCGATAATTTTATTTGTTTTTTACATTGTAAACTCAAATCAATTTTATAATTAAAAAAAAAAAAAAAACAGAAACGAGTGTATTTGCAATAAACCGTTCATATATTTGTTAATTATTACAACAATTTTATTTTGATATAGATATCATTCGATATTCGAAATATCGATAAGTTATATAGGAACTTGCCCGATATAATAAGTCTTGAGCGAGTACTATAATGGATTGGTATATGTTGAGAGCAGCGTTTCCTCCATACTTCTTTTAAATTTCTTTTTTGGACGGTCATAGTTTACTTACCTTTTTCATTCATAATGAATTTAAAAATGGCTTCCGTTCAAATATACACAAAATAATATGTAATATTACACGTAAATACTAGTTTTATGTTTGTATACTTATATTATTAAAAGGGTATATTAAAATGTGCTTAGGTTCGATTGATAAAATTTTTTTCTCTTTTTTTACTCTCTCAGCCTTGGAATTTTCCTTAAGAGAGTTTTTCTTTTTTTCCCACCAAATTGGAAACCCTGGTTGAGAGATAGTTGTATCTTACTCCTTAAATATACTGGAAGGATATATTCCAGTGGGCCAAGCTAGTTATTTATTAAGTATATTGTTACTTCAACAGTCGTGATAAAAAGTATGAAGCTGCGCCAATTGTATTTGTTGAATAAACTATCTTGATAATATAACATTATATACACGAATAAACATGTTTATTTGAAACCGCTATCTAAAGTGAGAGTTGCCGCTGGTGTATACTAGTTAGTATTTATATTAATTCCATAAATAGATGGCTGTTTTGTTATTCTGCTCTGTAGGATATCGCTTCCTCAAGGACAACGTGATCTAGAGAAATGCCTCATAGATCTGGTCGCAGCTGTAGGGATATTTTCTATTCTATCACCTTAGATATACGACACATTATTTTCGTCTTGAATAGCGGGTTCCCTGTTTCGCTAAAGTATGTTAACCTTCAGACTAAAAAACGCATATTATAAACAACTATTTTACCGCAGCGAGCGAGGACACATTAGATAGTAATCCTCCCTAATATATTCGACGTATAGGATGGGATATATCAGCATAACATATTTACAGCATATAGCATAACACATAGAGGTATTCATGCACTTGTAAATGCTATCATGCTAACCAGTCAGCACAAATTTAGAATGAATGTTAAATAATCTGTCCGCACTACTGGATCAAGGATTTATTTTTTTTTGGGGGGGGGACGGGGAGGGGAGAGGGTGGATACTTCATCCTGTGAAAGCTACCTTTTTCCCTCATATATATAATTATAATTACTTTGAAAAAAAGAAAGATAATAACTACCTATATGAAAGTGATTCTTGAAGTCCTATTAAAAGTAATTACACTTACAATAATACTTTAAGATATTATTTTTTAATATTTCTTACCATTAAACATGGTTA